TCACTCGGAGTTCATGACTTTAACAAGACATTCCAATACCGCATGAGTGCATGACGATGTGCAGGAAGGGTGTCAACAGCCAACAAAAAAATCAAGCCAGCATAGGCCGAAATAGCCAAAACAAAGAGTGTGGGCACCAACAGCACCCTGCAGCGGCACCGTGCAGCCACAGCAGCACGCAAGCTCCAAAGCGCACACGGCCATGGACATCTCGCAGCAGCACCCTGGAACAGCACCCTGCCAAAGCGCACACAAACACCTCTTCCTGTACTTGAAGTAGGAACCTTAATAGCCTCGCTCTCGGCGGAATAACAAAGTCATCAAATAAGTAGACGATTGAAGATCTCCTCTGTCTCTCTCTGTCTCTCTCCCCAACTCTGCAAAAGTGCGAGTTCAAAAGCGCGGAAAAACAGACGCCTCGGAGGAATTGATTCCAATGGTGTTGAAGTAGCGCATGTTCAGCGGATCTTCCAACCTCCGCAGCTAAGACCCAGTCTGATTGGGAGAGGGCCTCACTGATCTCCTGTTCGAAAAATGCAACAGTGTAGTCCAGTCTGTCTACCCGACGGTCTGGTACTAGTTTGCTCGGGGCCGGTGATTGATCTTTAACAGCTCCGAGATTCCCACAGCGAGGAGTTGGATTTCGACGGACAGCTCCGCCCGGCTTCGAGTGCGCGCCTACAAAACTCCTGTACGGACGATAAGGGCAACTTGAAGGCGGGGTGGGTGTTCAGAAGGAAGCTGCCAAAGTTGCAGAAGCCAGCTGACTCGTTTTGTCGGTTCTGTTTCAAGCTCTCAACCTGGGCAGCAATGAGCTTCACCAGCTGCGTGTGATTGGTCCATTACCTTTTGTCAGCTGAGACCCACTCTGAGGGGCGACTCTTCCAGAGTTGAGACCCACTGAACGAGAACATCAGCTCGTGTGTGGAGTTTTGAGTTCTCCAATGCACTCATTGATGGGGATTGAGTCCATCACACACGCTCAAGTTGTTGAGACTCTGCATAGATTCCTATTCATGTGGATTGATTGGGCTTGGGATCTCCAGATCGCTGTGCTTTGCACCATGAGGCTGGTCTAGACTGTTCACTTCGCAGCAAGTTTGGACCCAAGTGTCATGTTTGACTCATTTCCCCGCCCATTTCCTGGGCGTTGCTTCATATCCCCTGGGTCAAAAGAAACAAAAGGCTCAAGCATCGCTAAAAACGAGCGAGTTGCTCGGAACGTGTGGAGACCACCGGTGCCACCAAAAACAAGACTGGAGACATTCTGACTTACATCCTCCCATCGGGGCCACTCCAACAAAAGAGGGCTGGGGACTGTGGCAGTGCACTTGTTCCTTGTTTCTCATATATTACCTCGTTATATCTTTAAATATAAAGTTATCTATTCATACTTTTTGATGGCTATTTTAAATCTATATAGTAATCTATGAAAAGGATCAATATAGTTATTGTTCTGATACTGTAAACTTTCCGAATCCTCTGAAAGGCAAATGCATCTAATACTCTACAATGCACTGCAACTAAAACAAAAATTGAAAACAGCATTAGCTACAATAAAAGGATATTCATATGTTAGAAGTACAAGAAAAAAGACTTTAAAGAATGAATTGAACGAATATTATGAAGAACTACAAAGTAATAGATTTTTGACTACTATTACGCCAAATTCAACTGAAACTATAGAAAATGTCTATGATGATAATAATAACAATAACAATACTAGATATGTGTTTCCTGCTGTAAAAATGAAGGATGGACAGTGCTAAAAAGGCTTCAGCACAGCTGTCCCCTCAGACATTGAATTGTTTTTTGTTGTTTTGTTCTTTTTAGTTTTGTTTTGTTGTTTCTGTTTGGTTTTGCTATTGTGAATTCTTTTGTTTTTTTCAACGAATGGTAGTAATATGATGAATGTGGCTCAAAAGGTGAAGTAGCAACAATGCAGCGCACATAAACTTACGGAAATGCGGCCCTCTGTTCTGGAAATACGGGCTAGTGGGCGCATTGGTTTCCGTGCCAATCTTGGGAACTTCACTCAGCTTTTGAACAAAAATGAACAACCTACCGGAGTTGCTTCTACGCTCTCAGGCTCCGCACGTGGCTGCGAACTCACTCCAGCTGAGAACACCTCAATCCCGCACCAAGGCGATCCAACTAAGCAGCCCGGCACTAGTAGCATATTGTAATGTTTATGGGATACTGCTTATGGTGTCATCTGCGTCAGCTTGCTATGTCCAGTGCATTCCCATGATCAAGTTTTACGCGCTGCCCAAGAAAGGTTTGCTTCAACTTGTATTTAAATATCACGGCTTCACTGCCTGCAACACACAAGTGGCATGTGTTTGTAAAAAAACGGGCGAAAAACTTCTCCAAATCAACCTCAAATGTGCGACACTTGGTGAAGTCCTCTTGCCTAGAAGTGATCGGAAGCTGCATCTTCACCAACTGATCTCTAAGTATCTGCCTAACCCAAGTAAGTCACTCTGGCGTGGTCGTGATGGCTTCAATCAATGCCGTCCAGGCACCATTCTTGTTTTGATCTCCCATGTTGAAGATCTTCCGCACTGCATGGATGACCTGAACGTCTGCTAGAAACAGGACCCAGCACTTGGAGATTTCACACGCTGTGCCAGGCACACGAGAGCAAAATGTCTCATCGGAGATTTGGTGCGCTTGCTTTTGTATATCTGTTTGAATCAAGCGGAGCTGGGAGGGGCACATCGCACGTGCGACTCAAGTGAATCGCAGGGTCTCTTTCCCACGACCATATTTTCTTCAAAAACTCGCATACGCCAGATTGGACGAGAAAACAATACCACTCAATCGCCAAGGGCAAATCCATCCACAAAGAAGAATCACAAGTCATTGAGATTTTGACCTGCTGCTGAGTGTTCTTCACAGAGACCCATTCTCTATCTGACCTAATCTTTTTACGTGTTTGGACAAGATACAAATATATAAGAAATTGGAAACAAACCGAAAACACATCAAAACTGGAGAAAAGAAAAGTGCTAGCAAAACAAAACTCTCCCGCACTGGCCCGCTGCCTGCCTCTCTTTCGCGGTCCTAACGGTGAGCGACAAGCAGGGTATGTCCACCTACTAGAGGACCCATGTGAGGGCCCCCATGTTAGGGAACCAGTTCTTCCAAAAAAGTGAATTCTTCAACAACTATATACAGTATATATAATGTACAGTAAACCTCAAGTTCCATTCAGCAGAAGGTTTGGCCAAAAGCTGTCCGACCCCAGTCAGTTAGTCCAGACTCCAATCATTCAAAATGGTTCCAATTGCTAAAAGGTGTCCAGACCAACAAATGAAGACCCGGCAGTCTGGATCCTGTCCCCTGTTCCAGACTGCAGATCTTCTTCGATCAATGAAAAAGAATTCTCTCGTTCTCTACTTGGTCGAAGGGGCAAAGCTAGGCTAAGCTAGACCTCTCTATGAAATTCTACTTTGAGTTCGTTCTCTTTCTCTCTCTCTCTCTCTCTTCACTTTCCTCCTTACCCACCTACTCCGCTCATGCTTTCATCCTCTCCACACCGTTTCATCCGGTCCTCGTGTGCGGAGCCCAAAGCCAACTCCACAAAAACGCCGGTGACCACATTCATCATGGCCAGTACCTGCCGAAAAAAAGGGAGGACCAAATACGCCACCAAAAACGACGCTGGTCTCGTGCGGTCGCACGAGCGAGCTACGTGAAATTCCAACCATCGTTCCGACGGTCTCCGACCGTCCACCGTCGCACTGGTTCAAAGAGTCGAGTAGTGGCCCCTTCAAACCGTTCGTGAGAAAAAGGAACGAAACGCGTTCTGGGTTCGTCCGGAGCGAAAGCGCGACCCGCCACATCCCGCTTCCCTGGTTTTCCGTGGACCCTCGTGGACCCTCCTGGTCGAGGAGGACCCAAAAAGCACCGGAACTAGGGAGAAAGGTCCTGGTATAGGTGATCCAACTCTCTGGTATAGCGGGAAAAAGGCTCCCACGTCCTCCGAACCGCCAGTGAAACAATCAGAAATGGTATGACTAAGGGCAAAGGTGTTGAAAGATCCTCACCAGAGACGGAAGCAGTTGGAGCTTCTTCAAAAGGGAGCCCCATTGATGCATTCCCCTTCGCCAGGGGTGTGTGCGGGATTCCACGAAGCATGTTTTTGCCTACGGGTGTAAAACCGAACGTGTGACTACTGCGATTTTTGAAGTTGATGCTACGTGAAAGGTGGGGGGGTTGGGTTGCGGTGGGATGGGGCATATTGACGTTCGTTCGCACTTGCTTTCTGAAGTGGATGCTACGTGAAAGGTGGGGGGTTGGGGTGGGGGGGGATGGGGCATATTGACGTTTGTTTGCACTTGCTTCCTGAAGTTGATGCTACCTGAAAGGTCGGGTGGGCTGATGTGGACAACTATTGATACTAAGGTTATCTTCGGTTTCATAGCATTGTCATCGGTTTCATAACATTGTCATCGCTTTAATTGCATTGTCATCGTTTTCATAACATTGTCATCGGTTTGCCAACATTGTCATCCTTTTCATAACACTGTCATCGATTTCATCGATTTTCGTTTCTCTGTCGAACACACGTACAATTGCATATCACACGGGGCGAGCGTAATACATGTTGGAAGCTTACAAAGACAATGACCTTGAGGACATTTGACGATGTGCTCTCTCTCTACTTCCGGTTTCTTCTCTCTACTGACTAAGCTCACCACTGAAGGTTTCCGTGGCAAAACGGCCTCGCAATAGAGGCATTCCGAAGATTCCTCACAGTCGGCGCTGCAAACCAAGCTCAAAATTTAGTCACGTCACAGCTCACCGTGCTCACTGCAAGCTGATTAGGCGCTCGAACCTTGTTTACTGGCTCATGCTTGGTCCAAGCGCGGTGACACTGGGTATGCATCCACACCAGTTCAACATCTGGAAAACGACAGCAACTCAACAAATGACAATGTCCAACTGCTGCAACAATGAGACTCGCCCTGTGCCTGTGTTGAACGAATTGGAAATCAGGCAGAGCAGCCGATCGCATTCAATCGAGCCTTTTCCTTTGCCTGCAATTTTTCCTTTGAGCCATCAATATCATGTCCCCAGACCTCAAGCATCTCTCAAGTTTCAATGCACTCAGAGGGAGTACACACTCAAATGTTTCAAGACAAGAATGCTGAGGAGGAAACAATTTCATCGACCTCATACCCAAATGAGAAAATCGTGGCAGGAAGTTACTGGCAACAAAAAAGGTGCACAGTGTTTATATGAGACCGCTGTTGTGGACAAAACCCCATCAAATCTCTGCATCCCAGCCTGGGAAAGACCGCTACCCAACACAGGTTGGCGCCCTTCAGGCTTTGTGGGCGCACCAACATACTTCCGACCGGCAGCCCCTGCACCAGGTCAGGGCAAGTGATCGTCAATACGGCCATGTTTATATCTTATATACATGATTCTACACAATTGTTTGCATGGACACATTGAATACAATTTGCACATGCCAAGTCTGCATCATTACATGTCTGCATGCATACCAAATCATTCTAGATGCCTGTCCAATTGGGAGACCGGAGATGAGCATCAAGATTAGAAGAGTCACTCAGAGCACCAAAAGCAATCTTGTCCACTGCGCAAACCTTGATTGGGAAAGTCTCTTTGGAGCCAGCACAATGATACATGTCCATTCTTTGCGGATCTCTGCAGCAAAGGCACATGCGCCATGTGACTCGGCCGCAAACCACCTGGGCTTTCTCGATGCCCGATGTATTTTCTTCCAGCGGCACCTCACGCGGGTTGGCAGTTCGCAATTCGTGCAGCATTCCAAAGAGCAAGATATATATATATTATATATCGAGTACACAGAGAGATATATATGTAAAGATCAGCACCCAACGCACCTCGGAACTCCTCTTGGCGGAGGTGGTCTTGAACTTCCAAGCTTTCCCCGTCGCTTTTAAAAACAATCTGGCCGGCAAGTGACAATATGAGATGCCCGAAGAGACTCCATGATCGTTGATTGGGATTCTGGAGATCCCTGAAAGGAAGGCCCCGTTGAAGTTAAAATCTGTCCAATGCCAGGGCACACCTCTGCGTGGCTGTGTACTAGAAACGGTGACATACTGAATCCAACATCAGCTTCATGGATTCAAACATGTGCAAGAGCTCGAATGTTTTTCTACCAAGAAGATTCAAAATTATGGGCGGCTTCGATCACTGACAACAGCCATTATGCTAGGTGGAACGCTCGACTGTAGAAAGTTCCCTTGGACCCAGAACTGCACCTGATCAACCTGGGACGTGCCAGGGACGAAGTTGCTCTTCAGCCCCTCTTTTCGTGGTCGGTGTCCAAGAGAATGGGAGCCAGCTGCATCCTAGAGAGCAGCTAAACTAGCGAGGCGAAGCTTTGGATGTTAGGTCCGCTGGGTTTGTTTGCTAGGTTTGGATATGTTATGTTTGGATGTCCTTCAAACACAACGAGGCAACGAGCTGACGATCTTCTCCGGACCCCACTTGCGGCCTTGAAAGCTTCAAGATGCATGTGCTCCTCCACTTTGTCCTGAGCCACCCAGGCTACGAAAGCCACTACACTTTCAGAACACTCCCTTTTGGTCCCGGTCCCTTGCCTCTTGGCTATATATTTCTGCATATATATACATAGACTCTTTTCTTTGTTTGTCGAACAAACCATAGCACAGACAATTCTAGAAAGAAGAAAGAAAGGCAAACAAATGCCTTTTTGAAAAAGGTCTCAAACAAAATACTTCTGAGTCCCTATCCTTTATATATCCAAGCCACTTGCGAGTGTCCAAGGTCACGGCCCAAAATGACAGCATCAGCTTGCGAAACCGTTCTTGCAGGAAGCTGCTTCAGTCCACCACAACGTTCCACGTGTCCCACGTACCTGGGTGACACAAAGTGGATCGTGCAGTCCTTACATTTGTTTGGAGGTCTTATGACGCGCAGAAACTAACAGTCAACGCGGCCGTGTACACCAGGTTTGAACACATTGGTGTGTTTTTTTGAAAACGTTCCCAGGCCTGTATGTTTGACTATGGGGTAGGCTTCGGAGGTATGCTTCGGGGTATGCTTCGTGCGGTGTGAAGACTAAAGTAGTAGCATGTTCAGAGGGTATGCTTCGGGTATGCTTCGCCTAAGTCGAACATCCCAACTCTACATAAACTGGATATATTAAGAAAAAAAGTAGGAACCCACAGCTTGAATACGTGGAATGCTCATTCTTCCTCATGGTGTATGCCCGACGATGACAAGCGACCTCCGACCTGCGGCTCCGTGAAAAGTGTCGTCATCCAAATGCTCAGCCGTCCTCTCGATGGAGGAGTCCATGTCCCGGCCAAACACAACCTGACAAACAGAAAGGCTCCAATCATGAAATGAGTTGGCAGGGAACCGCTGGAATGCCAATAATCTGTCCATAGAAGGTGATTCCAAAAGCACGGTCAAGCACACTTCTCTGTTGCTCTGGTTCGCTCTTCAATAACATCTTCTTGGCACGTGTTTAATGTCTTCTTGTCACTGCTGTTTTTAGTTTCGGGGACTTCTGCGTTTTTGCTTGGTTCACGCTCTTCGACACTATTGTCTTACTATGTTCTCGTGTTTTTGTTGTTGTTCTTTTGTCCTTTCTGGTTTTCCCTGTGTTAAAATGCGTCTACTGTACGTAGCCATCTCAGAGATTCTTCATTCACAAGTCGCAAGGCTCGAACATTACAAGTTTGGCCCTTGGTTGGAACTCTCGCAGCAGTGCTTGCAAATGCACGCTGCAGCTCAAAACAACGAAA